AGGTCTGCCAGACATGGGGGTAAGGCTGCAAGGCCAGGTGAAGTGGTCGGCCTTTTGAGCTTTTCGGTATCTGTGTGTTTCTTATCGGACAAAAACAGACAAAACCAGGCGCCGGGAATCCATTTGGAGACCAAATGTCTGGCCAGGACTTGGCCCCGCGACTCTTCCAGGCGAGAAATCTTGCAGCTCAGTCGATGCAAAGCTCGTAGCTCCTCGAGCCGACTTCGGCGACTCAGGCGACGCGTTTTTGAAGCGCGGCCAAACGCAAGGCTTTCGGCTCACCCGTGAACAGCGTAGCTTCTTTTTCCCCTCAATTGGAAAGGGGCTTGCCAGAAAGGGCGACAGCAACATTTGCAATCGCGCTCAACGCAGACACTGGCAAGAGCCGTTCACGTCGGCAGCCTTTCACGTCGGGAGCCTTTGCTTGCCGGAGCCTTGCTGATGTTCAGGATGCCGGCCTCCCAGACCTTTGCTACGTCTCAGGTGGTTGCAAACATTTTGGTTGGGCTGCAACCAACTCCATCATTCACGGAGGTATCGCACCGGCCGGTCCAACAGTGTCGCAAGGCTAGGCACCCTACGAATCAATTGCCAGGCTGTTCGCGGGAAGTGAGCGAGCCCAAGGCCACGAGGCTTCTCGCTGGGGCTGCGGTTGCGGAGGCGGGCTCGTGCTGCGACAGGACGTGTCCACTGCATTTCCTGCAACAGGTGTCTCCCATCTCGCGTTTGTGTCGCTCAGTCGCGGTGTTTGTGTCGCTGCATTCGTTCAGAACCCCATGCGAGTGACCTGATCGGAGGCCTTCACAGCGGGCCTGCCGCAGACCCAGCTTTGGTTTCGTGAGCAAGAGCCAATGACCGGTTCTTTGCATGTGTCTACCATTGATTTGAGGACGAGAAGGGGGACAGAGTCAAAAACACACAACAGGGGCGCAACCATTGATTTTCCTATGTGCAGTTGGGAACAGTAGCGATATTGTTTCTGACTCAGTGACTGAGGTGAGTGGCGAAGGCGTGCGGGCAGAATTGTACGGCGCAACCGCAGCGCATGTCATGTCAGAAAATAGGCGGGTCCCAGTCCTAGCAGGCCCTTTGTTTTGACCCAAGAAACCACCATTGTACACAGAGGATCCCTACTTTAGGACATGGCTATGCTGCGGCGTTCTACCCCCCCTTTTTCCGTGTGCAGCTTCCGCTGTTTGAGTCTCGCGCTTTCAGGTGGTACCACTTCGCCTCGCCCAGCTACGCGAATTCCTTCGGGGACTTCCCGGCCGTGGACGTGGCAAAACTGCGGCAGGACACGGTGAAGCACTTGGACTCCTTCCAGGCGGAGACTTGGTTCCAGGACAAAAATGGGGTTTGAGGCAAGGTTGAGTTTGACGCATTGAAGGATGCGTCAACAAAGATCTGCAACCATTTGAGGGGGACCACTAGTTTGAGAAACACTCACAAACATGCTTGAACATGGTTAAAGTCAACCAACAGGGGCTTTGGGACCCCCAAACAAAGGATGCCACCATGATTCAACGTGGTTTAGGTCAACCCCTGGTCGAACAGAAGCAATAAAACCCCACACAACGGGCAGGATAGGGGACAATTTCCGAAACATAAAAACGTGTGCGATTCTTTACCATGGGTTTTGTGTTGCCCCGCAAGTACCAAGTACCAAGTTGTGTTTGTGACTCGCATGTTCAACATGGTACCCGGAGCACAAAGAAGAGCCACACATGGCCCAAATGTTGCGTGGGACCCGGTGGCTCGTTTCAACCATGGCTTGAAAGGCCCTGTTTTGGCAGTCTCTTTGTGGGTTTTCCGGAGGGGACCAGGGTCTACTTACGACATACTTTGTCCAGGACCCCGTCTGCACCGTGATCCGTGGAGGTGGGGGCTGAGATGACTTCGACCTGCTTGTTTGAGGGTACCCGTTTCGGGCTGGTTCAAAGGGGAAGCTAGAGGAATTTCCGCTGTTTTGACGCCCATATGAAAACCTTTGTGGCTGAATCCACTTTGCAAGAATGGCCGGTGGTTTGATATGAATCCTCATGTCAATGACGTCCACCAAAGGGCCTGAGCAATTACACTGTCGCACATAATGAACCCGGAGTGGATGGATTTTGCGTTTGCCTATGATTGATCCTCCAGTTAACACATGGACATGCTGCTGAGCTTCTCATGTGGGCCGCCCGCCCTGTTTGGCCAATAGCACCTCGGGGGGGGGGTTGCTACGGCATACTATTTGAGCCCTGCAACGTATTTGGGACTCAGATTGGAATGAGCATTGGACTACCCTTGGAAATTTCATTTCATGTTTATTTTGGGTGGAACGGTGAAAATCCGGGGGTGGATATCAGAGGGCTAAGGTGTTTCAAGTCGCGGCAGTTGGCAAGAGAAAAGGACCGGTTGTGCTCGTACATCATAGTGAAACAACATATGTGGTTTGGATTTTTGACTTGGGGGAATGGAACCCCAAAGTCTTCTTGAAAGCAACTTGGAGGACAATCCCCCCCCCCCCCCCACAACTTGTCATGAAGGCTTGCCTGACATAAACATCCCGAGAAACATGTGAAACAGGTTGTTTCCCGTTAAAACCTCATGGGCCCTCAATAAAGACAAACCCACGTATTCCCAGTTGCTGACTTGCCAGCATTTTCCCCGATGAGGTTCCCACTAAACAAGGGGCCAATCCAAAAAAGCTTTGCTTTTCTACAAGGCGCACTTGGCATTTGATAGACCCGCGGTTCCCCCTCTTTCTCGAGGAGTTCTCAAGGAGGGCGAGGTCTGCGAGACGGTGGACGCCTTTGGCAAGGCGGGGGATGTCTTTGACACTATGCTAGTACATGGAATCATTGAGAGTTGTTTGTTCCCTTCGGCTTAGATTAATTCATCTTTCCCTGTTGTAGTTTGCACAACCAGGGGGCGCTGCCCGTTGCATTCCATCTTTACAAGGCGTCCTGCGCTCGTTTGGCCCACCCCCAGGTCAATGGGAAGCAGATCTTGGCGACGCCAGAGGTGGTGGACAAAGTCCTGGAGCAGGCGGATGTTGCCTCAAGTTCATGAAAGGAAACGAAGACCAGGCTTGTTGGTTCGTGTCGTGTGTTTCCCCCCCCCCCCCGCAGCTAAGTCAACAACTTTAAACGAATCCAAGCCCCCCCCCCCCGCTCGTGGTTGGTTTGCAAGGCAAGCTCGAACTAAATTCCGTAGCCCGTTTCCCGATTTGATCCCCTAAAAGGGATCAAAGGAGATTCCTCTACAGTTGTATGTCGTCCCTCCCTGGTTTGTTTCGTTTTCAGGAGGGTTTGGGCCCGGTCAAGGGCAGAAAGAATCCAAGCGATCCCCTCCTGGTTTTCCCTACAGGTTTGCCAATGAACTGTTCGCCCAACGTTCAGTGAGACGCTCCAAGTGTCCAAATGCGGGGGATCCTGAAAATGGATTATTCCCGTTGGTTTTCCCTACCCATAAAAGGGTACCCTCAAAAAAGGCACAGGTACATGGAATCCCACACTCTTCCATTTGTAGAGGGATTTCTGAGCGACCACTCTATATTTTTTGAGTTTCACCTTGATTCTCAGATGAAACAGCAGCCCCAAGATCGGTGGCTTGCCTTCATTTCTCAAGCCAACAGGCCCCATTCAGACGCACCCTGTTGTTGATTCTCTTGTTGATTTCCTGCGTTGTTTTTAACATTTTGTTTTGAGGCAAACAAGCTCCCACCCCACCCTCCCCCCACCTCCCCTTCCCCCCCCCCAACCCGAGCCCCATCCGCACCCCCCGCCCCACCAGTCGGAGGTCTCTCCGACTTCGGACAGGTGCAGCGGCCCAGCGCGGGGAAGGACTTCCGCGCCGCGATGCGCAGCATCGAGGCGCGGCTCCTCTCGGAGCACGCGGCCTTTCTCATCGGCAACCAGGCGGGCGCGTTTCCGGCGAGCAAAATGAGGGCCAGGTGGCTTGATGGGGCGTGGCTCAAAGCAGGGCATTGATAAATGTGGGGGAGCGCGGGGGGGGGGGAGGGCAACTCACCGGCGATTGGGGCGAAGGTGGGCGAGGGAACCCCGTGAATGGTGTTTCTTGGGCCACAGCAATCTTCCACAGGGCATGGCGAACACAACACCTAGAGCGGAGAGCACGGGGAGGGTAATGAAAAAGCAGGAGGGCCCTTACCATCTACGAGCTTGACACAAGCATCTGTGGATTTGTTCAGATGCTTCCTTGCAAGCTTCTTTGCACAAAAGCCACATTGTACTCGAAGTGCTTAGATGCTACAAACGGGTGGCTTCGTTGCAGGCGCTGGACTTTCACAAGCAGGATGGAGTCACTGAGATCGAAGAATCCATCGAGGCTAACGTCATCGAGAGGAAGCTGAACGACTTGCTCCTTGCTGATGAGCTGTCAGGTAAAGTGCGCATCCAGCGGCACACAGCTCTGGTGGGATGCGTCTCCAACTTCTCCAACTTTCTCGCCGCTTTGCAAAGCACGCCCATGCGCTTCTGTTACTGTCTATATGGTAGCCCAAAAGATCCCAACCCACAACATTTCTAATCGGATGTTTAGCATTGAGCACATAGCACGAGATGCAGTTCTTCAGTGTATCTACGTGTCATTTGGGCTACTGTGAACCAATTGGGCAGGAGACAGGAGTTCAAGTTTTCTAGTATATATGTGTGTACATAAGGGGGGCCGTCCGCATGTGTATTCGGGTAACTTGTTCGTTGTGAAACCTGTATCGCGAAAGATCGGCGATTGGGGCCGCGATTGGGGCAACATCTGCATATTTGCTGGTAAGACGTGAAGACGCTACCAAGTTTGCTTCGCGATTGGCCTCGCTGTGGTTACGATTGGAGCGCGAAAGGCCGGCGGGAGGGTGATCTGGAAAGGCAATATTGGAAGACCCCCATATATCCTCATGTATGGCATCCCATGTTTGGTGTTGCTCTCCGCCCTCGGATCGGATTGTGTGGCCTCCAGAGAACCCTTTGTAGAGCCGCTGAACCGATTCCCCAGCGCCC